TATCCAGCACATTGGACTTTTGTTATATTGCCATTGATGAAAATGATTTGTGATAACTATTGATGATGTTTTATGGCCCAGCTGTTATTTTCTAGTTCACATCTGAAAAAGGTTTCGTTGTTAAACTGGAGTTTTTGCAACATATGACTCATGCTGCTGTGGTGGTGAGTTTATACCAGTGGTGCAAAAGCACAGCTTTACAAAAGGCTTAATCCATCACAGGCAAGGGTGGGAGAGGCAAGCAAGGTAAGGCCATGTTAGTTCAGCGCTGCCCTCCATGTTTACTGGTCAAAGGTACCACTGCCTCACACTGGAAAAGATTAATGTGGCCAATGTGTCTCCCAGTGAACAACATTCCCCCCTCAGAAAGCTCACAACGTGTCCTCGCAGAAAGAAAACAAATGCTGCCAGAGCAAAGGGAAGCTCCCTGGCTGCCTCTCCAATTCAACACTACAGGAAGATTTATGCACACAACACAGTTTGTTTGCAGAGTGGAAGAGCGTGAGCCATATTGTATGTCAAGGGCAATTTATCACACTCTTCTGTGTGGTCTGTATTGATTGTCAGGGTCCGCACATTCAAAAAAAAGGAACCAGCACCAGATATTCACACAGTATAGGAGCATAAAAGCCTGTCACAAATGAGGAATATCTTGAGTTAAAAAAAACTAAAAGGAAGTGTGTGACTTCCTTAAGATAAGTGTGAGGGCAGAGTGCAACATGCATTTCACCACTGGCTCTGTTTATCCAGCCTGTAGTATATAATCCTCAATAGACAATACTCTAAAGGCAATTTTCCATTTTAAAAAACTGATGAGATTTAAATTAGAAAATGTTCCCTTGGAGCAAAAGTTATTAGCGACTTATTTCCTCTCATTTAGTTATTTTTGCTCCTTACTCTGTTTTTTGTGTGTGTGTGTGTTCTCCAATAAACGACACGGTCAATCATTTGAAGATTTTAAACAAGTGGCAAATAGACCCTGAAAATTGAACCCATTGAATTAGCCGCAAGGATTTATGAGGTAGTTACAGTCAAATTCAAAGAGAAATATCACTTGAGTTTTTAGCTTACAGTGTCCTCTAGTGGTGGAAATACTGTCTGTCAACCCATGATACACAATTAAACATTTATACTCTTGCAATTAAAGGCTAATAGTACCATTATTGATTGTGTATTACAATATATGATTTAATGTTTTGTGAGTGTGTAACATTTATGTCTAAAAGTTATTACTATAACTATTAGAATAGTTTACAGCTTTCCCTGTAAAAAAAAAAAAGAGTGGACTTCTACAGATGTGTATATAGAAACTGAGCAATAAGAAATCAATGAATGTGATGACTTACTCTTGAAGCTCTGGAATGGTGTTCATGGCATAAAGAATGCCGAGGGCAGAAAATGAAAATAAAAACACTGAAGTCTCCATTTCTTCAAAAACAGTTCAACCGCCCTCCCTGCAGAAAAGCTGAAAATACAACACAATTAATTTTGAGTCAATAACAACCTGTTATAGCAATAAGAACTGTAAATGATTCAATCAAGTTGATATTCAAACTATGCCAAGACATCAATATATTCAGCAAAACTGAAATAAACAGAATGAATCTTAACTGAAATAAACTAAATTACTAGTTTGATTAGAATTGCATGAATATTATTTAAAGAATCCAAATAATATCGTCAATCTTTAATAAAGTGGAAAAGCAGCAGAGCGGGCTCTTACCGTCAGGCTACACGCTCAGTGGATTAATGGAATTACAGCCGGCCTGAAGCAGACATGGCCTTCACTGAGGAAATAATGAAGTGGAGACAAAGAAGCTTTTGGGAGGAAAGTTGCGCAATTTGGTTTTGTCAGAGATTTATATAAGTCGTATTAGGAAATAGGTCGACATTCCAGTTTATACAGAAACGCACTTTCAAGTTCTTCTGAATCTGGTTCTTTGGTGCAGTCAGGGTTGTGTTTAATGAAATGTGCAGTGGATACAATGCTCACCAAAAAATATGACAAAGAGAGGACCATACTGAGCAGTGTTAACTTCGATACTCAATCAAAATGAAAAGCAACTCTTCTCCAACAGCCCAAGGTTCTCCAGACATCTTCACCTGGCTTGATTCCTTGTGATACAGGATGATGAATGTTGTGGTACAATGTGTTGGTGTGACAGTTCAAACATCTTTAGAGGGACTGAGATCTGAAGATGCACTGGTGCTTGTTTGTTTCTTGTGCTCTCTAATTATTCCATTGGCCAAACGTTGTTGACTCCTTTTCTAAAATACCTCAAAATGTTCTTCTATTAAAAGACATCTTTGCGTTTCAAAGAAGTCCAACAAATGAAGTTAGATGCATTTACTGCAACTGAAATTGACCTCAAGTTGAGTTTGAGTTTTGTCTCTTCTACAAAGATGATATTCAAGCTGAGGAGATGTTTTTAACATGTCTTTTAAACTCTGGATCTAGAATGTGTACGATTTAAAGTAACTAACTTTCTCAAAACGGACGTTCACAGCATCTGAATAAGCAAAAAATGTGTAAGTGTGTCTGTTAACTTCCCTGAATTCCCTGTGTCACAGCTCGCAGTAAAGACACTAACAAGGAAAGGAAAGATATTTCTGCAGGGAAAAAAATCCCTCTTGTGTAATGACTCCCATTTATATGTGTAATTACTGTTTTCTAATGGTACTCTTCAGTTGCTTTGTTTAAATAGCCATTTCTCAAATTACAGTTCATTAAAAATCAATTGTCTGCAGATTATTTCCAGCAGGGGGCGCCACATTCAAACTAAAAGAGGAGGCACCATCCCACAATGAAAAACAGAAAGTAAGTAAGTTTTGAATTGAAACATAAGATACATTTCTATTAAGAAGTTTAAAATATGACCAGGATTGTCTCCTTGATTTATCATAGCAGCCTGTTTTGTATAGTGTATTCTGTTCAACAAATCCTGGTACATGGAAGTCACTGAGGATGCAGAGCAACATTCATCTCAAAAAATGTCCACAATGATGAGCTAATATGCTTTGAAATTGTGCAACTTAGATGTGTCGTGATACATTTATCCAACATCCTATATCGTCAACCACCACATTACTGACATCAGACAATGTAACAGAATCAGACTGGGGAAACAAAGCACAACCCTGCTGGTAACCTGTCTCTCATGAGTGCCACCTTGAATTAAAACACAAAGACACACAGGCACGCGCACGCACGCACGCACAAACACACACACACACACACACAAACACACACACACACATCGCCCTTTGCTTCCCACAACTCTGCTTTGTTGGGAAAAGGGGGGACTGTTATACCAGGAAAGCTATAGCAGTGTGTGTTTGCAGGAAACAACTGGAGCTCTTCCAGCTCCGGCGTTCAATAACATAGAATAGATGGATGCCAAAATGAGACAGCGACCTGCACGAGGAAGATGCACATGTACTTTATTTAACATCAAAATTCATCTTCAAATTATCATACAGCCAAAAAGTACAGAGACTATACAAACAATATGGAAATCCTAACGTGTTTTTTATGCAAAGGTTTGTCTTATTATTATTCCCTTATTCTACTTGTTAAATAACTTATTTTATACCATTTATACAATTTATTAATACCATTTATATTACTATCAGATTTATTTTCCATGCAGCTGTGCAATGCTTTTTCTGCCAAGTCATCTCTCATTTTACTCAGTGAGCATTTTCCACATAGTTATTATTAAAGGTAGGAGTGGTAGTATTGTCTTACAGTAACAGCAGCAGCAGTAAAGTTAATAAGTATCGTGGGTTAAATTTAGGCCCATGGCCACTTAAAAGGATAACAATGCAAAACCTGATGATATATCTGTACGTTAATTAAGTTTTTTATTTTGTCTTAAATTATTTAATCCTTATCCTAGAGATTTGTTTTATCATGAGTAGTTGATTTCAACTATGGGTATGTGTAAATCTGATTCTGATTCTGATTCTTATGAGTAGTTGATTTCAACTATGGGAATGTGTGGGTATTTTATAGATTTATAAGGTACATATAACATGACTTTCAAATTAATCAAACTATAAGTGAGTGTTACAGCTGTGTGTGCTTTATACAGATTTAAAATATGGAAACATAAACAATGTTTTATGTCTCATTGGGCGACATCCATCTGTTTTCTCAGAAGATCCATGATCCAGTTTGATTTCCTGAGTTAAATCAATCATCTGTGTCATGTTCACTCACACAAGGTTGTATAATATTATGTAAACCATACATACTACTGACTTTAACGCCCCGGCCTGGACGTGCACCTAAGTACATGTCACATCTTCTCACACCATATGTGTGCAGTTGTAACCTGAGGTCCACAGCAAAGGCCCTGTTCACTATTCCACAGTCCGAGCTGAGAACCCAAGCTGAGCGGGCCTTTTCTGTCAGGGCCCCCACTCTTTGGAACCAAATGATCATCTTTTAAAAAAGACAAAAAATAATAGGTGTGCTTTCTCTTAGTGATGACCTATTTAAATATTTTTTTATAATGTTTTATTCTTCCTTGTGTTTTTCTCTTTTCTCATCTCACTTTAAACCCGCTTTTAGTTTCTTTTCTATTGTATGCTCTGTTTGTTTCTTATTGTTTGCCTTCAATTTTTCATTTTTAACTTGCCACCACATTGTAACTAAAGTTGCTATTAATTATTATTACACTTATTCCACATCGTATGAGAATGAATATTACATCTAATTGGGATTATTCCTTACTTATAGTTATCATCGGTTTGTTATCATTGATGTGTCGTAAAGGGTCAATAAGTGATCAATAGGGGTTCAGTTCTTCTCTGATCCCCCATCGTGTGTGTGTGTTATAAATGTGTGTGTGTGTTATAAATGTGTGTGTATTATAACCCGGGGCTGAGGTGCAGTGGAGGCTCAGGTGTTGTTAACGTGATGAACTATTTATGGCCTGAGCTGTTTTCTGCTCGCGATCAACAAGCGGCACTGCGCGTGACGACAGCGGCGGAAACGTTTTTTCGCTTTTCAAAATGGCACCGTCTCAATAAGGAAGTGGAGAAAACAACTAAGAAGAATAAGTTGGATAAAATCCCCAGTTTCCGTTTCTTTGACGCGACTCCTTGTTGAGAACCGGGTCGTGCGGCCGGGGATTGGATTTCGAACAAGTTACACACTGAACGGTGAGTGCAATGTCGAGGATATTGTGGGGAAAAGGCGAGCGACACATCGGCAGTCGCCGTTTAACAAGATGCGTCCTGGCAAGCCTCTCCTAGGCGCACGTTTTTTACGACGGGCTACGCCGCTTCTCCAGCGGCTGCTTTAAGTCCAGCGTTATCGTATCTGTAAACTCAGAAAGACCTGAAGTCCAGCGAAGAGAGGGACAGTGGGAACGCGTAGAAAAGACCCGTGGTGTTACGGACGTCTCGGGATCACCGGGCTAGCCTTAAGAAAAGCCAACAGCTAACTACGCTAGCTAGTTACTTAGTAATAAGCTACTGCTTAGATGTTAGCTAACCAGCAAGTAATCTGGCTTTAAAATAATACACGCTACCTTTACTTGTACAATAAAAACATACTCCTGTGTATCTTAGCTAACACGAGTAGCACCCCCACGACACAGTCAAACGATTTAAGATGTTATATTTGAAGAGATAACTACATAGTAATGTCACCACATTAACCTTCGCAGACAATGTACAAAACGAACATACCCAGTCAGGAATTGCTATGCTAACCTAGCTAGCACAGTTAGCCACCAGAAGTAAGCCTGGTATTATCAAACTAATTCGGGATATTGCTCAATTTTGCCATCGTTGATTCCTACTGAAAATACTGGACTAGATAAACAGAGACGATTTGTAGCTAGCGGTAGCTCTCTTGGCAAGGCTTGTTCGGTGTTTTGTTTGTCGTTCGGGGAAGCTAACTGTGGTGGCAGCTGCACTTTAGCGTCGAGCTGTGGCTGCTTTCCTTTGTGCTGTGGAGAGACCAGGGAAGCTCCGGACCTCAGAAAGAGCCACATTCACACTGTGGTGCTGTTTGTGTGAAAACCCAACACTAACTCCACGAGGACACACGTGTTTTAATGCACGGACAAGCGCACACGAGAAGATGTTAGCTAATGCTAACCGGATAGAAGTAAATAGACTGTAACGTGATCTAAAGGAACGATTAGTTGGGAAATGCTCCCGTTTCTGCCTCTTTTGTTGTAATTACACGACTAAACAGTAAAAACTACCAAAAATCACGATCAACTTTGGTGATCTATGGTGTTAGTGGTGCATTGTTTAATACATGAATTCATCTCCATATATTTTTGAATTAGACAGAGTTGGATATGCCTCAGTGGTGGATACGAATGAAATGCTCTCCAAGGCATATGGCTGTTGTGTTTATATCTACACTGCACTACCCTAGTGAACCACCATGGTGTGATTATAAGGAATACACATTTCACTGGTGATCTCTTGGATTTCGTAGCTTCTGTATTTTAATATATAAGTAAACATATGCATGGACTGAAAATGTCGACTTGATGTGTGACCATACTGTGATGTTTGGCAGTGATTCAGAAAACTATGAGCCACTAGGTGGAAATGAAAATAGCTCTCACAAAGCTGTCCCCACTAGTTCTTTTTTTCTTTCCTGCAATTTTCACTCTTTAGTTTTCAGTGTGCTTGTCCCCTGCAGCCAAAGGTAGTCGAGCCCCACGCAAGCCTTGACATAGTAGGTTGCCATGGTGGCTGGCTATTTTTCTAATTATGTCATTTCCCCTCTTGTTGATGGAAACTATTTGGTAACTGTGAAGTGAATGACAAGCTAGGTCCTCGTCACGGTTTTAGCTGAGTGCCCTTAACCCCGGTGATGTGGTCTGTGGCCTTGGTGTTATTTGCTGTCAAATTCCTCTTACAGCGCCAGTGTAGACTTTAATGGCAACAGAACTTGAATTGGATTGTGAAGCAGAGACACAAGGAAAAACCACAACTCCTTTTTTTTTGTTTTAATTATCCACAATCTAGAATACTGAAACTTAATAATTAAACCGTTGTTCTCAGAGACAATCATATATGCAGGAAATTTGCATCATCATATGGCGTTGTTATTCTTTTGTCCTGTGTAGCTAGAATAATAAAAAAATACACATATAATACTGGCTACTTTTGTGAAAATTTGGGGAATATCTGTAAATGCCTGCCTCCTATCAGTGAAGGTAGTCTCTGAACAGTGCTCATGTGTTAGAGCTCAGTTGTATGTTTGAGCTGCACCCTACCCTAATTTCTCTCACCGTGTCAGACAGTTGATGGCTGCCTGCCCTACAGGGACTCAGAGGGTTGCAAAACACACTGGATCTGTTGATAGTGTGTTAAGAGCCTACAGGAACTCTAATAATGATACACAGGGAGCATAAAGGCATTTCACAAAGCAGGACAAGCCAGATAAATGTAAAGTATCATGACAAACCCTCGTAAATTTCCATTTATGTAATTTTCAGGTTGTGTTTCCTGCATTCAGATAATTATTATAATTTCCAGGAAGTATTATTTAATAAATTTTTTTGTTGGTCACGTGAGCCCAAACAGCATTGATACATGGCTCACCCAATCGCTCATGCCCCCTGCTCTCTGCTCCATGGCCTCCATTCCCCCTCTCCCCTCGTCTCTGCTAGACCTTTTTTCTCCCCTCTCCAATTGGTGCCAGTTGTAAATCTCATTTATGGCCTGTGGGCTGATTAGAGTGAGAGTGAAAAATGTGGAGTGGAGGAGGGGACTCGGGCCTAGGTAATACATTTGATTCAGTTCCTGCTTTCCCGGAATCTGGCATTCATTTGATAATAGTTTATGTATTAAACACAACATGGATGTTGGTTCAGAAGAGGGAGCTAGAACAAGTGACGATTGTTAGGAATATGTGGCCGCAGTGTTCACCTCCACACTGTGACAAGAAACAAACCAGTCCTTTATGAGTATCCTATGTCCCAACCAGTATCCAGACCTGGAGGCAATGTGGATCTGTCCCAAGCCACATAAGAGCTTTGTAAGAGATGAGTGAAATGGAGGGGAGCATACCACTCTCTGGCATTCCTCACCTCTTTGCCTTATAGATTTCTGTGGAAAAAGTGTGTCAACATCCCTCTGAGAAAAGCAAGCACTGATTTCAAAATGGGACTTATCCAGGAAGGAAATATGAGAAGAATATCTGTGTCCACATTGATGAGTGACTGAAAACTGTGTGTCATTGTTTCAGTTAGCAGCTTGCATTTCAAACCAGTCCCATGTGATGAACAGAGAAGGAAACTAGAAACAGTTATTTGAAGGCTGGCACACAGCATGTGCTGTAAAACGTGTGGTTGTGTATGTAGTAGTAGAGTTGTCAGATATGACTTATTTTACACCCACAGACTTATTATCACTGACACGAAGTCAGACAGCTGACCCTAGGATCCTTAATGTTCTTGTGTTAGGTCTTTTACAGAAGAGGAGAATTCATCAATTGTGTGTTGTCTTGTCCCATGTTTACCCTATTTAACAGGGGTTAAACGTGAAGGGTTGACCCTTATTTCAAGGTGCATTGTTAGTGGAGTATACGGGACATTGGACAGTGTTCTTGTGATGTTCAGTCTGTGTGAAATTTAGATGTATTAAAGGTATTTGCATGTATGATGGAGGCTATCTTTTCTAAGCTTGAATCCTTAACATGACAGAAAAGGCATTTCACTTGTTGGAGTTTTTGCAGTCCTTGTGTTCCTTAAGCAAGCGTATTTGCTTTGCTTTATGTTGTTCTGAATTGTCATTTCACAAACATGTTACAGGATACCTTCAGGTCTGTGGTTTGGTGAAGTTTTTTTTCTGTTGTAAATTTGAGTAAACTCTATTTGCCATTCTTGTTTGCTAGTGGATTGATCCCCAGGGTAGTTTTAAATGTGTCCTTCAGGGATAACGGACATCTTGTTTATCACAAAAAGGAACACTCAGTTTGTACTGGTCAGCCTATTCTAATGCTGCTGCTATGAGCTGCTCCAAGTCAGTCAGATCTTGTTTCGTCTAGTCATATTTGTTTTTGTAGTACTGGCAGTAGAATATCTTAACTTACTTTTGTCCTTGAAGAATGGTTTAATTAATCTAACAGGACATGTTGCTATTGGATTTATGTGTGTTCAGGCAAGTAAGGCAACAGTTTTTTAGCTGGTTCTTTCTCACCCATCTTTCATAGTTATGGAGGCAGTGTTGGAGGTGGGATTTGTGAAGAGTTTAAATGGATTTGATTCAGAAAAGAATAGGTTCTGGCAAGCATTGCCACACTTCTACTTCAGTGGTATAATGCAGTAATACACTGGAATTCAGAGTAACTGATATATGAGAGCTTAAAAATAACATTATGTCAGCTTATATTAATGTATTTAAGCAAATGCTATTTTAGTTATGATTGCTTAAAAACTTTAAATAAAGATTTTGTGTGTAGAATCATCTAATGTTTTACTTATTCTCTTAAGTAGTTATGTTAGGTTATTTTTTAAAAAAAAATTGTAATTGAGGTTTTAAATCCCTTCATTTTGTGTACCACGTCACGTTTCTATAATGTTCAACAGCAGATTGGGTCAGTCTGACTAATTTTCTGCCTGTTTTTTCTCATGAGCAGTTTAGCCATTGTTCCAGAGGTATCTGCATCAGTTGATCCTGTCAGTCAGCCAGCCTAGCTAGCTGAAGCCTACTGATGAACTGAACTGAACTGAACTTAGCATAGCCAAGTGGCCCAGACAGACATTGACAGGCTCCCTGACGCTGTGCATGTGGTGCAATATTCTCACGCCTGCCAGAGAAGTGAGGTCAGTCTGAGAGGAATAGAGTACTGTCTAGATTTGAACAGCAGAAGGGCAGAGTTCACAAAACTGAATCTCTAATGGCAACTGACCTCAATGAATATCAATGTCCTGTGTATTTTTCCAGCACAGGACAATATTGGCATTATTGATAATGTAATATTTTATTTGTGTAAGAAATAACGGTTATTTTGAATTGTTCGATCCAGTCTATATTTCAAAATAAGCGTCAGTAGGTGTCCAAGCCTGCCCTCTGTTTGGATATTTAGTATACACTATTATATTTGGTCAACTGGACTCATAGTTTCCATTCATAAGGTCACAACAGTCATTACACCCCTTTGATGCATATTTAAAACACACTCC